TCATCACCTTGAACTCAGAGACTAGGACGTGTCTCAGCACCGACTAATGAGATGGAGGCTGAGACTCTCCTGAGGACGCTGGCTCAAAGAGGCTTTTCTGCCCAGAAATAGCAGGCTCCATCTTATTTTATTAATTCCTCAGATATGACAAGTCGGATGTTGTGTGTGAAAGAGCCAGGGTGGAAAAGAAATAAAATGAATTTTACATCATTACTTCAAAACCCAAGTCAGGGGATTTTTTTTGCAATAATAATAATAATAATAATAATAATAATAATAATAATAATAGAGAAAAAATCACTCCATGCATTTCTTCATCTACTTCCTTTGTATATACCTTTATAGCCAGTTCACAAATACAGATATAAGTGATTCCACAAGTTTTGTGAGCCAGTTAAAAAAATAATGTACCCAAATCATGCTATTAAGGGAACTCACAGATGTGTGAGTGTGTGTGTGTGTGTGTGTGTGTGTGTGTGATACAGGGCTGGGTTCTCTGTGAGTGTGTGGTGTGGGTGTCCTCACAGGTAAACATGCATGGACGAGCATGCAGATGTGTGCACTTGTGTGAGCTTGTGTACATGCACATGTATGTGCCTGCACATGGAGGCCAGAGGACAAACTCCAGTGTCGTTCTTCAGGTGTCATCCACTTTGTTTTTTGAGACAGCGTCTCTCTGGACCTGTAATGTCCACAGAAGCCTAGGGTTATTGTCAGTGAGTCCCTCCTCCTCCCCAGTGATGGAATTACAAGCACATGCTACCATACCACACCCAGTCTTTACCTCCCCTCCACATGAGTCTAGGAACTGAACTGAGGTTCTCATGCTTGCAAGGCAAGCATTTTATTGACTGAGTCATCTTCCCATCCTGTCTTTAATTTCTTAATCATTTTTACAAACTGGATTACTTTTATGTCTATGGAGAAGGACTAAAAGCAGACCTCTGTTTTCATATAGTGGTTGTGGCCCTGCCAGCAAAAGGTGGCCCTTGTCGAATTCTTTGTGAGTGTGGAACTTCAGGGTTCATGGATGGGATCTTGTTGTTTGTCTAAAGTGGATGCTGGGAATAGTCACAGTGTATGCTTTTAAAGACAAGCAATAAAAGCAGCGAAAGGACCAAATGAGGTAAAACCTCTGCCTCTTTCTTTCTCTGAGTTGAGGTCTGCTTTGTATTACTTCTACTTGTCTCAGAAAGGCATGATGAGTATGGACAGGACATGAGCTATCTTACTGATAATGCCACATGTGATTATGTTTGGAAGAGAGATGGATGTCTGTGATGGTTGAATAACAATGTGAAATCATTTAAAGATGTTGATTGTATACTTAAATGTGGTTATTGTGACAAAATGTATGCTATGTGTGTTTCACCACAGCCAAACACACATTCACACATAGTTACACAGACGTACACAAGCACATACCTAACATCAATTCATACACAGATATGCACCTATGGACATACCATCCATCTACACATGCATGCATGCATGTACACACATATACCTGCACATATACAGAACATATGTATGTCTTTAGGTATATGCATGTACACATAACACAAATATCTGTACACACCACAGATATGTATACACAAACACACACACACCATACACACATTTCCTTTTTCATGAAAACTCTTCCAGCCCTCAGAGGGTGTCTCGGTCCTTTCCAGTGTGCAGCTGCCATTTGAATATTCCCCAGCATCCTCTTTAGACTGATGCTTTTGAATCTTACATCTTTTCCCTTTCTCATCTCATTTTCCCTCCTGACATTTGAGTACTTTCCATATGAAACTCATTGGAGATAGAAATAGCTCATAGTCAAAGAGGCATTTTCATGAGGTGCTTCTAAGAATATAAATATGACATATTCAATAAAATGCCTAGAGAATACTAAGTGTGATATAAAATCATCTCATATTTGTATAAACATAAAAATCACCATTATCTCAATTTAAGTTTTTCTCCAAAATAAATTTTGTAACAAATTCATCCAATTTATTTACTTTTATTAAGATACTTTTTTGTTTTTAATTTAAATTATGCATGTCTGGTGTGTGTGTGTGTGTGTGTGTGTGTGTGTGTGTGTGTGTGTGTGTGTGTGTGCGTGCACAGATGATCATGGGGACCCAAAGAGGACGTCTGATTCCCTGGAACTAGAGATCTCAGCAGTTATGAGCTACCTATGGCAGGTGCTGGGAACTGAACTTGGGTCTTCTGGAAGAGCCGTTCAGAGTCTTACACAAGAACCACTTCTCCAGACCTCCTACTTTAAAAATTATAATTATTTATGAATGTATGCAAGTATGCATATATTTTTGTTTAGGGGGAGAAACACACCTGTCATAGTAGCAAGCTTTTTCGTTGGACTATCTTTGAGCCACCAGCCCACAAATAATGACACAGAGACTTCTTATTAATTATGAAAGTTCGACCTACAGCTTAGGCTTGTTCCTAACTAGCCCTTATAACTTAAATTAACCCATTTTTATTATTGTACATTCTACCACATGTCATTACCTCTCTTTCATCCTGCACCTGCTGTCTCCTAGTTTCTCCCTGATGCCTATACCTCCTCCCTGGCTATTGACCGTTCAGCTTTTTATTACACCAATCATTGCAGTACACCTGCACCCAGTGTACAAATATCCCACAGCATGCTATGGTACATGTGTAGAGATCAGAGGACAACTTGCCAGATCACCTTCCACCATGTGAAGTCTCAGGGGAAGAACTTAGGTTGTCACACATGATAAAAAGCACCTTTGCATGTTGAAGCTGTCTTGTCTGCAAGCCCAGGCTGACCTCCAACTCCCTCTGTGGCTAAGCATGACCTTGAACTCCTGATCCTTTTTCCTCTACCTTACCAGTGCAGGGATCATGAAGGTATTGCCTGGCATTAGACCCATCTTTGATAGAATGTTTCTGATAGCTCCAGTTTCTAGTGAGAGGAAATTTGTTAAAACTCAAAAGTGTTTTAGTGGAATTTGCTTTGCTTTCTGTCTCTCAAATTATATTTACAATAATGTGTTTAATCTGAGACCTGGGGCTCTGCACACTTTTTAGTAAGCCTCTTCCTCCTCTTCGTCTGCATCCCCAATAAGCCCAGAGGATCAGATGGAGAGCACTTGATCTGAAATCACCAAGTTCCTGCCCTTCACAGCTTATTTGATGGGAATAAAAATGACTGATGCTGTTCTCCCCTGGACTCTTTTGTTAGACTCAGCTGTGATTATGAAGCCTGTTAACTGAAGTTACATCCTATTTAAGAGCAGTGCTTACTGGTAATGGGGGCCAAATGATTTTGGAAAGTTCAGACATACTGGACTCCCCACAGAAATGAATTCAGCTCTGAAGGTATTGATGCAGACCCTGAACGAGGCTGCTCCAGTGGGACTGAGAGAATTGTGTGCCGTGAAAGAAAGGAAGGAATAGTAGAATTAAAGATCAGATGGATATTCTGCTCAACAGCAGTCTCCTCTGAAGTTCATCACAGCAAGTTAATCAGGCTCAAAGTATTGTGGCCCAGAAGATATCAGCCATCTTGGTGATGGAAAGTAGAATGATTTCAAAGATAGTTTGTTTCTAATAATTATGCAAGGTTGGGCTTCCTGAGTATATGTTTGTGGGTATCTGTGGATGTGGTGGGGTTGTGTGCATGTTTGTATGCATACATGTAGGGGACAGAAGACAGCCTCAAGCTGCCGTTCTTAGGCAGGTGCTATCTCCCTTTTTCTGGGACATGGTTTCTTACTGCCCTGGAACTCACTGAGTAGACCTGACTGGCTTGCTAGCAAGCCCAAGGATTTTATCTAATCTTTGCCTTCCCAGTGCTGGAATTATTTTGTAAGCAATTCTTCTAGCTTTAGTGCTTTCTGCACCCATCTTGGTTTTTTGATACAGTTTCTCTGTGTAATGGTCCTGTCAAGGAACTCACTTTGTAGACAAGGTTGGCCTCAGATTCAGAGAGATTTGCCTGCCTCTGCCTCCTGGGTTCTGGGGTTAAAGGCATGCACCATCACATCTGGCTCTCTATTTTTCTTTTAAAGTACAACTAAGAAAATCATTCTTAGTCATCTAAGATTATTGCATATTGAAGTTGCAGTACAGGCTGAGGCAAGAAAGCCAAGAGTTCTAGGCTATCTGGGCTGCATAGTTTCAGAATAGTCTGGGCTACATACTGAGACTCCATCTCAAAGAAAACATACAACAAGAAATAAAAAATCCTAACTCCCTCTCCTTACCTCTCTCATCAACAAATGGATATACAGAATGACACATTTTTGGCTGTGAAATATTTTGTCAATTGGGTTCGGATTTTAGTTGTCTGAGGAGAAAATACATTAGCTTTTATTCTTTGTCACTCACCCAGTCTTAAAGCAGTTAAAAGGTATATAAATATTTTTGTTAGACATGAATGAAAGTTGAATATAAATATAGTAGATCCATTATGAATTTGCTTCTCTTCAGCCCTTGGGAGCTAATGTGTCTTGGGTTATATCACTGTATTTTTTTCCTTTTCATTACACCTCTGTGTGTGTCCCTTTGAATGTATGCATGCATGTTTGGCAGGGAGAAGGGAAATGGCTACTGGAGGCAACCATGCCTATACCCCAAACCATGGTAGTACCTGCCTTCTCTCACAGTGTGGGTGCCAGCTGTGAGAAAAGATTATAGCATCAGAATAATTTTCCAGGTGGGATTTTTCTAAACTGTACCTCAAAACTGTTCCAGCCTCTCTATCAGGGCACCCCAGTTACTTGCTGCAGGAAAATCCCTCCTTCTTCATATGAACTTTGCCTTAATCATC